TCAGTCCTAGAACTGATGAGAGGAAGAGCTGATATCTTACATTGTTGAGATATTCGCTTCAAATTCTTATTTACTTGGTGAGACATGAATTCTTATTGATCTTTCTCTCTTATTGTGCACCAGAAACTCTGTCTAAATTTTCGCTGCGCACAACAGAGCAGCAAACTACATATTAGGAGAGAAATATGGGCCTGTGATGAGCCATGGGGTACGTAAAATGATAAGCCATGTACGTCTACAATTTTATAAAAATCTATCAGCGAAAAATAATGAAGAGTCCGCGTTTTAAATCATGACCGTCTATTGTTTATTTGACGATTATAATTCATTTTGAGTATATTCCATGTGATCTGCACTTATTTTTATTCTTTTAACTCAAGATTAATCACAATTATTAAATAGACAATTAGCAGTTGTCACAACAATGAATCACCATTCCTCACTATATTTTACAACAGGGAGGATTCAAATTTGTACTTACTGTATAATTTAGCATGGATATGAAAATGTTTTATTTTCCAATGATAAATATTTTTTTTGGGAAATTTCAAAGTTGCTTGTTTAAAAATGGAATTTTAAAGATAGATAGTTGGAGAGACATTTTTTGATGAGATGGCTAATGTAGAGTTCACCTAAAGCCCTACATAATCCCCCAATTGAAAGTAAGCGTCAAATAAAGCGTAGCACGTTTTTTTTATCGTTTCAAAGTTATAAATAAAAGACAGCAATTTATTCTTAGATGTTACACGTTTCGGCCAAAAGTTTAATATTTTATGTACAATTCAAAATAAAGATGCATGGTTTTGCTTCCGTATACACCTACTAAAGCATTCTGGCGCTATGTGGACTGTCGCTCTGCCTCGAACAGTCTGAGGCTGCGGCCAGCCTTTGAGAGGCTCTGTGGACTGTCGCTCTGTGGAATGTTTAACTATTGTTGAGTTAATCATTTTGAGTTTGATTTCTGCGCTTAGTTAGTTAGTTAGTTAGTTATATTCCGTAAATTTTGTGTTAGTGGAACGAGTCTTGGGCAGGCGTGGCTTGAGTTTCGGATCATAACAAACCTGTAATTGGTTATAAATATCAGTTAGATTTGTGTAGTTTTTTTAAGCTCTTCAATATAATAAGTTTGTTTATTTCTTCCTCAAACGTGTGTGTGTATGCATTCACAGTGATGAGATTTGATCCAACATTTGGTATCAGAGCGAGGTTAGGAGTGGATGCCAAAGATCATGCCGGCAGATGCATCGTCAATAACGCGGTGATGTTGAAGACTTCAGGAAGAGACGAGATAGTTTCCCTCCAGTACCCGTTGCTCACGAAGAGCAACTACTCGGCGTGGGCGCTCAAGATGAAGGTGTACATGCGTGCGCAAGGCGTATGAGATGCCATTAAGCCCACTGACCCCAACGATGAGGTAGAGACGCAGAATGATCAGATGGCCCTTGCTGTCATCTATCAAGCCATCAGCGAGGAGACACTCCTTGTGTTAGCTGAGAAGGAGACGACCAAGGAGGCGTGGGAGATGTTGAAGACAATGCACATGGGCGCTGAGCGCGTCAAGGAGGCAAAAATCCAGACTCTGAGGAGCGAGTTTGAAGGTCTTCGCATGCATGAAGCGTAGACGGTCGATGATTTTGCCGCAAAGTTGACCACCATTGTCAACAAGATCCGTGCATTAGGTGACAAGGTGGATGAGGCCTATGTCGTCAAGAAGCTTCTTCGCGTTGTCCCTTCCAAGTTTCTTCAGATCACGTCGACCATTGAGCAGTTCGACAACCTCAAGATGATGACAGTGGAGGAGGTTATCGGATCACTTAAGACCCATGAAGAACGACTGCGGGGCTTCGGTGACAATAAGGAAGAGCAAGTCCTGTTGACGAGAGCGAAGTGGAAGGCGAAAGAAGCAAAAGGAGACAGAGAGAGCTCGTCAAGTTCATTTAAAGGACGAGGAGCTGGTGGTGGACGCGACCGCGGACGTGGGTGTGGCTGCAGTTATGGTCGTGGACACAGTCGAGGTGGTCGAGGGAACGAGTCCAATCATCACGAGAGAAAGTTCAACAAGACCAAGGTGAAGTGCTACAATTGTCAAAACTTTGAGCACTTTGCTTCGGAATGTCGAACTAAAGAAAAGGATGAAAAGGTTCACTTTGTGGAGGCGCAAGAGGACGATGATGAACCAGCTCTTTTGGCGATAGAAGTCTGTGAGAATGAGAACCATGCACCGCTGGTGACAGAGGGAGTAATGCTCTATGAGGAGAAGGTGAAGCCAAAACTAGACGGAGAAGAAGAGGTGGTGCACGAGAATACTGTTTGGTTTCTCGACACCGGAACAAGCAATCACATGACGGGTTGCAAGAAATGGTTCTCAGAAATCGATGAGGCTATAACTGGTAAAGTCAAGTTCGGCGATGGCTCTGTCGTGGACATTCAAGAAAAAGGTACAGTGATGTTTTAGTGTCAAAATGGTGAGCATCGACTCTTCACCAGCGTCTTGATAACTATTTGCCGTCAAATAACTAATATGGAGGGTGGTTTTGCAAATACCCATGATTGAAGAGGTATATATGCAAATAACCCAACATTTTAACCATCCTGTGAGTAGTCATAGGCAATAAGGATAGCAAAAGAGTTTTTTTAACTCATTTACCAGAGTGAAAGAGGGGAGGTACACTTTGCTCATTCCTAAAAAAGTTATCAGGATCAACTTCGGACTTCACCTCAGCCAACCTCCTAAAATTATCCTTAAAATATCTCCTCCCCCAAACATTTGCCGTCAAATAACTATTCGCCCCCTCTTCATTCCTCCCCAAATCCAAATCTCTATAGTTATAATAAGTAGCTCTAGGATTTTTTGAAACGTAGGGAGCCATGAACTCATAGAATCTCTCCATCCCACTCAAATGCTTACCCGTGAGCTCACTTCCTTCGGCAACACCCCACTTCACCATGTACTGCAAAGTTGTACAAACTCCCGTTTCTATGTAGAAAAGGAGTCTCAGATTCCAAAATCTCGTCCATCCGGCCTCTGAAAGGGTCGAGTATCACGATCAAGAACTCATTTTCCTCGGAAAACCACTTCCACATCTTCTCCTACCCTTGTTCGGAAACTAGATTCCTGACGAAATCCGACTTCGCCTTGAACGGAGTGATGAAAGGGTCGGCAACTCCCCTCTCCGTGAGGACGCTCTCATTCTTTCCCCCTGACAAGTAGCCTAAAAAGTACAGTACGCTCTTGATCCAACTCATTTCGGCACAGTCCTCCTCGCGCAACCCGAGTTCCGGGAAACTGACTCCCATCAAGGGAAGCAACTCGGCTTTCGAACCGAGGAACAAGGAATTGAAGGTGGCCTTCACTGTTTTGTTTCCCTTCTCGTCTTCATCGGGCACGAGTACGATCCTGATGAAGAGCCTGCCGTCAAGATCGTAAGCGACATTTTGCCACTTCGTAACTAGCTTAGTTGCACCCTGATTCAGTGTTCTGCTCGCACTAAAAACCATAACGTTAGGAGGAACTTGCACCAACGTGACCTTAAATGATAAAATGATACCGAAACAACAACTGCCTCCTTTAATAGCCCAAAATAGATCCTCGCCCATCGACTTCCTGTTTTGAATCTCACCATTAATGTTCACAAGTCGCATCAACAACCTGATCGGCTGCCAGCCTGAATGCCATGACTAGGGTTCCGAGGACCCCACCACTCAGATGACCGCCGATTCCCACCGTTGGGCACACCCCCGCGGGGAATGCGACATTAGGCCCTGCCTTTTCAGATATTGCATGGTACAATTCACCTAGGGTCGCACCTGACTGGACCCACGCCGTGTTGCTAGTTACATCGATGCCGATTGATCGAAGATTAAAGAGATCGAGGAGGATGAAAGGGCCTAAAGTAGATGAATAGGATAGGCCCTCGTAATCGTGGCCACCGCTACGAACTCTCATGTGGATACTATGCTTCTTCGCGCATGTAATAGCATGCTGAACATGTGATTCGCTAGTTGGTGATGCGATCAAGGTTGGGTAAGTATTCGCTAGTTGAGAATACGGAGCAGTAGTTTCAACAATGATTCCATGCTCCTTGAAGTATGCTTCCGATTCCTTAGATCAGTACTCTCCTCCTCTGTCTCTCCTGAGTCTTTTCACCTGCAGTCCAAGCTGCTTCTCCACTCGAGTCCGAAACTCGACAAATTTGCTGAAGGCTTCTTCTTTAGATTTCAGCAGGTAAACATGACAGAAACGAGAATGGTCGTCAATGAAAGTGATGAAGTACTTCTTTCCGCCACGAGTGACGAAGCTCTTGAAGTTACAAGTATCTGAATGAATCAGATCCAATAGGTTGGTGCTCCTCGTGACACTTGAAAATGGCTTCCTCGTTAGCTTTGCTTGCGCTCAAACTTCACACTTCTCAGGTTTATTACCCCCATATTTTGAAAGTAATCCTAGCTTCTCCATGCTGGATAGTTTTCTATAGTTTACATGTCCCAGCCTATTGTCTCATAACACAGAGGAGTAAGAAGAAGAGGATACTTCATTTACAACGTGCACGCATACTAATTTTATACATGCCATCAGTACGATATGCATTGCCAAAATATATTTTTGTAAAGGATAACACAATCTTTCCTCCTAGGAAATTCAGCCTCATGCTTGTATCACACAACATGTTTTCAGAGACTAAGTTTTTGGTAATTGAGGAAACGTGTTTCACATCCTTCAATGTGAAAGTCTTCCCTGAAGAAAGAGTCAGCACCATAGTCCCAGTTCCAAGAACAGGAACCACAGAATGATCATCCATTAATACGTTCTCTTTGATAGCAACATAAGAAGAGAGCATATCTCTATTGGACCATACATGACAAGTAGCACCCGTATCTAATCACCAACTAGAGATGTTGCTTGGAGTTGTTACCTGAAAGAGCATAGCCACATAATCATCAACTTGATTGACATTGTGCGTTGTTTTCTTCTTTGGTGCTTTGCAGTCTTTGGCAAAATGTCATCGATTCCCACAGTTGAAACATTTGCCGCTCTTCTTGAACTCCTTCTGAATGTTCAGGTTCTTCGAATTCTGGTTCTTCTTTCTGTTAAAAGACTTCTTCTTCTTGAAATATGAATTATTACTCTTTTCAGAGTTAGCAGCCACCATGTTAGCAGACGCCTTCTGCTTAGCAATGAGCTCAGTCTTCGTGTGAGTTCGAGTCTCGTCCTCGATCCGAATGAACCTCTTCATATCAGATAGAGTCACATGTCTTTTCCTTGTCCGAATGTCAGTGGAGAATGATATCCAAGATGGAGGAAGCTTGTTGACAATTGCACCAGAGATGAAAGTTTGACAAAGATTGATCTTTTCATCCTTCAGCTTCATAACAAGCTTTTCAAACTCTTTAACTTGAGGCAAAACCTCAGTGTCATCTTCAAACTTCAAGTCTAGAAACTTATCAATGAGGTGAGATTTGGACAGCTTCTCCTCATCCTTGTACTGGTCCTCCAGAGTATTCCAGATTTCCTTTACAGAGGGCTTGTTAGTGTAAGCATCTGCTAGATGATCGGCCAGAAAGTTAAGGAGATAACTCCTACAGAAGTGATCATCTCTAGCCCAAGAGCCTTCAGCTTCAGAGTCTTCTTCAGAGTCGGATTTCTCCTCAGAAACCACATAGTAGATTTTTAGGAGTGGCATCTCAAAAATCACTTTTCGAAGCCATGAGTTGAAGTTGGATCCGTCAAAGTTCTTTAACTTAAGATAGTTCACTTCAAAAATCCTTGCATGATCCATGATAGATTAGAATAATACTTTAAGATTGTTGGCGCATGTGGTTAAATCCGGAATAATACATATATATAACAACAAAAACTGAATAGAAAAGTGAAGTATAGTAATTTAAAATTTTCCAACTCAGCTGCTGTGCGTTTGTAAACGATATGCTTAAAGTATTATTTGGCCTACTTCGGTACAAAGATCACAAGGCCAAATTGCTTCCAGGAACAACAGTCCAGTACTCTGGTGTGCACCAACCCAGTACTATCAAGATCTCCTCGATCTATCAGGTAAAGATCTCCTCGATCTATTAGGCAAAGACCTCCTTGACCTATCAGGCAAAAGATCTCCTCGATCTAGCATGCAAATATCTCCTCGATCTATCAGACCTTTCGGTCAAGGCAAAGTTCCTATAAGCACCAGCTATTTTACAATCTATATCTATATATATCGATTGTTGTTTTTTGAATGAATTTTCCTTAAGGATTTGAGGTCTGTTTATAGCATTTGGGAAAATACAATGCACTAATAAAATAATAAAGTGTTTAATGCTTTCATAAGTTTTATTCTGCTTGTCATTGGCATGATTTTTACGCTATCAAACTCAACGAAGAGAATGCAAATGGAGCAATTTTCAGGTCTAATGTATGTTTCTCCATGTCTTTTGTTGTAATCCTTATTGTTATTTTGTATGAATCAAGAGGAAATTTGCATTTCGAAGATCCAATATAGTATCTGATCATTGCGGACACGAACCTGATGTAAGCCTATAGAGCCATTTATATCACAACAATGAAATAGGCATTGGTGAAACTTCAACCACAACCACTAATAACAGTTGTGGAAGTATTCTGCAACTTATTTCATTAGTCATGTGAAATAGAAAGACATCATCTGTTAAGTCATCTGAGTTGATTAATTAAGAGGTAATTAGTGTGTAGCAAGATGTGATTAAGGTGATCTAAACTTCTGATTAGCAAGCACTACATAATATTTCTTAGAATTTTCTCCAATAAAAGCTGTGTTAGTTAATCAAGCTGTGTTAGTTAATCAATGTCAGCTAATATACCTGTATACTAATATTGTAGAAAGGCTTAGTAACATGGAAAGAAACTCTTCATACCTCAGCTGTAGCTTTGTCGAAACATCTGTTAATAACATGATTTCACTATATTCCACTTTAAATTACATCCAAATTCTAAGAGCATTAAACCCAAAATATTAGCTTGAAACCAGTAAAAGAAAAATAAACGCATTCATTTGCACAAAAAAAATCATCAATGGAGATAACTAGTTTCACACATTACTTCTGATTTTCACACATCAAGATATCAGTGAGTTCACAATCACAAATTAACAAGTAAAATAAAACATGCCTTCTGATTTTCACACATCAAGATATCAGTGAGTTCACAATCACAAATTAACAAGTAAAATAAAACATGCTTCCAAGAGACAACAAATAAATCCATCAGTGAGTTCACAATCACAAATTAACAAGTAAAATAAAACATGCTTCCAAGAGACAACAAATAAATCCCATTTTTTTAGAAGAAATAGCTTTTATGTTGAGGAATCTAACCTCGGGGATCGACCTAGAGCTACGGATCGATTAATGTAGCAATCAAGATTATCCGCAACACTTAAAAATGAAGAAGAGATTTTTAAAGATAGAAAGGGGAAGAAACTGTAGAAATCAGAAATGAAAGGAGAGGTACCTGAGAGTCGAAAGGAGAGTGATAGCGATGAGACCGATGAGGAAGAACACACGAACAAGATTGGAGACCATATTGGGATTAGCTTCGAGCTCGACGACGATATCAGAGATGAGATCGGAGACGAGACCAGCAGCTCGACGACGAGATTAGCTACGAGCTCAATGATGAAATCGGAGTTGAGATCGGAGACGATGAGATAGGAAAATGGCGAAGAGAATGGCGACGAGTTCAGCGATAAGATCAACGACTAGAGATGATTTCGGCCATGACGATCTTTTGGGAGACCACCAGCTCGACGACGAGATTAGCTACGAGCTCGACAACAAACTCAGATTTGAGATCGGAGATGATGAGATCGGAAAACGGCGAAGAGAATGGCGACGAGCTCAGCGATGAGATCGACGACTAGAGATGATTTCAGACATGGCGATCTTTTGGGAGCGGATATTAGAAAAGGAGGTAGAGTTTTTAGAAAGGGGTGACGATTTGAGAGAGAGATAGAGAGAGGGGGCGGGGGAGATTTAGTTTAAGTGGTGACATATTCAGTTAAAGCCCGGACCTGCCTATAAAATCGGCCCAAAGCATAATTATTGGGCCTAGCGAAGCGGTCTTTGTAAAGCGTTGTCTTAAGCCTTTGATCGCGGTTAAAAGCGTTGCAAAACCATCCCCATAGACACCTAGCGCAACGGTCATAAGCGTTACGCTAGAACTGTTGCATTAGATTAAATATATGGTAGTGTATTATTTTACTATGCATGGGGGCTCACGTCCAAATTTTTCTTTGGTGGGGCCCACCACTTTTGAAAAAATTCAACATCCACCTAACTTGTAGCAGCCCATGTTTTTCTTGCATTAGTTTAATAATATCCAACACTGACTTCTGATGACAAATAATTGCTCTTCTGTGCATGAGGTATCAACGCAGTTTCACCAGAGCCAGAGAGAAGAGGGTGTTCGGGGGGTGTTAATCTAATTCATCTTCCAAATGCTTTAAATGTTAAAATACAAAACTTAAATAGTTTATGTTTCTTAAGTGATAACTTAGAGCACAACCCCTCCCTTAATAACTCCTGCAAGTGGCCATTAATAAACAAATTAACATAATGGAGGCTTTAACTCTAATCACTTGCCCTAAACAATCTCAACTTTGTCCCAAAATGGTGTTCAAGGGTCAAGCTTATTATCTAATTGTGTGCAACCCCACTTGAAGCATTAATAGAAACCTCATCACATGGCCAATGGAATCAAATTAACAAGGAGAGAATAATTCCCTTTATTTTTTAATTAACAAAAGTATTACAAGAGTGACAGTAAACATTAATTTATTAAATAGTTGCTGAACTGAGAGGGGATGGAAGGATAAACAAGTAATTCGAGCCCTGTGACTTGTATGAATTAAGTCAAAACTGTTGAACTCTCATCATCTCAATATAAACGCACGGTACAAATCTCCATAACAATATCAAACAACCCCTAATCAAGCAAAATGGCGATATCAACCTCAACAATCCTCACCATCCTCCCCTTTCTCTTCTTACCATCTTCATCTTTTGCGCAATCCTCTTACCCTGCTCCCTTCAGATCCTTCATCGATTGCTTTCTACAACATCTCTCTCCAGACCTCATCTACACTTCAAACTCCACCTCCTACGAATCCGTACTCCAATCCTCTGCTCAAAACTTGCGCTTCTTAGTCTCCAAAACCAATCAAAAGCCCTCAATAATTGTCACAGCAGACTCTACATACGACGTAAGCATAACAATCAGATGTGCGTGCACGTATGGCCTACAGCTACGCGCAAGGAGCGGTGGTCATGACTATGAGGGCATGTCATATGTATCCGACGACAAAGAACGGCCGTTTGTGGTCGTTGATCTTGCACACTACAGAAGCATCGATGTCGATGCCAAGACTCGAACAGCTTGGGTTCAAGCTGGAGCAACCCTTGGTGAGGTCTACTATAACGTGTTCATCAAGAGTAATGGTACTCTAGGTTTTCCAGCAGGGCAATGTCCAACTGTTGGGGCCGGTGGGCATGTAAGTGGTGGTGGATTTGGCGCAATGATGAGAAAATTTGGTACTGCTGCCGATAATGTTATCGATGCCAAGATTTTGGGCACCAGTGGAGTGGTTTTGGACAGGCGGGCGATGGGGGAGGATCTGTTTTGGGCGGTAAGGGGCGGAGGAGCAGCCAGTTTCGGTGTCGTTTTGGCTTATAAACTTCAACTGGTTGAAGTCCCTCCTGTTGTTACTGCATTCAATGTTTACAGGAATTTAAGGCAGAATGCGACTAATCTTGTTACAAGGTAAGTTCAAATTTGATCCCCCAGAAGTTAATTATGTTTAGGCTAAATTGACACGAGCAATTGTCAATGTGAGCAGGTGGCAAGACATTGCTCCTAAATTGGATGAGAGTATCTATCTCCGAGCCGTTGTGCAACCCGTAATCGACAGTGAGTCCGTATGGAATGTGAACATTCAAGTTCAGTTCACCTCCCTCTTCCTTGGAAACAAAAGCCAGTTCTTCTCTGCAATAGACACGAGCTTCCCTGAGCTTGGCCTTCAGGCTGAGGACTTCACAGAGATGAACTGGTTGGAATCTGCCCTCTTCATGTACGGTATGTCAGGTAAAGGGATCGAAGCGTTACTGAACAGAACACCAGCATCCAACAGTTCATTCAAGGCAAAATCGGACTTTGTGACAAACCCGATCACTGAGAAACAATGGGGAGAGATATGGAGGGCTCTTAGAAACCTCAAAGAGGACAACATCACTATATTGCTGATAATGGAACCATTCGGAGGAATAATGGACATGATCCCAGAATCGACAACCCCGTTCCCTCACAGGAAAGGAAACTTATACATCATTGAGTATGAAACGAGATGGTCCGGGGTAGAGGAACAGGAGAGCAAGAGACATTTGGATTCAATGAGGAAACTGTATGATTTTATGACTCCATATGTTTCAAGCAATCCGCGGATGTCGTACTACAGCTACAAAGATATCGATTTGGGGAGGACCGAAGGGCTGATGCCGAGCTATTTTGAAGCTCGGCAGTGGGGGGAGAGGTATTTCAAGGGTAATTTTGAGAAGCTAGCTATTGTGAAGGGGAGGGTCGATCCTATGAACTTTTTCAGGAATGAGCAGAGCATCCCACCGTTGTATTATACGAGTAAGGAAGCCTTTTCTTCCTCATTGAACGACACCATTATGCGATTGTTGAATAAAGAAGTAAGAGCACATTATGCGTGTACTAGTTAAAAATTTTGTATCTGGTCATCAAATGAAACATGTCCTTATTTAAAGCGCTATGTAGCCTTTGAAAAAATGTTTGGTGACACAAAGGGAAATTCCAACTATGCGAGCTCAAAATTGATCGAGTTGTAGGAAAAATCTTGAAAAGGGGGGAAATAAATAAAAATTAGAGCTTTTGGGATTGTGATTCTGGCGCCTCTGCTCCATCAATTTCGTATTCAAAGAAAGAAAGAGCTTAAATTTGGGATTTTTCTTAGAAAATTAGGTGAATTTCTTTCGACAATAAATACAAAGTTTAACAGCAACCTATACAAAAGTTCAACAAAAAAGATCTTGTAAAAATGGGAAATTTCAAAATTGGTTGAATTGCACGCAGAATTTTGAACAAAAAGGGAAAAGCAATAGAAACTACCAACTTGGGCATGGTTAATTCTCGCTTCTCTTCTCCGTGATTCCATCAATTTAGGGTAGAAATTGAGGGGAAAATGCTAAAATTAGGGCTAGGGTTTATGATTGGGATCGGTGCGCAGCAGAAGCATTATATTTTAGAAATTTATTCCCGAACCAGTGATCTCTTTGGTGCAATGTAAAATTCTAACTAAAGAGGTTTGATCAAATCATACAAATCATACCTACAAAGACTCTAATTCGGCCTTTGTGTTGAATCATCGTGTTCGCACTTGGAACTTTTCGGAGTCGATCCGTCCATGTGCACGCCCTCCATGATATCCACATCAGGATATATTCTCGTACTGATCGAGAAACTCTTTCTCGATTTCTTGGTCACATAGAAAATTTTTCTCTCGATCATTGTCCTCGGGCACTTCAATTTAGAACGGAAGAAAGCCGTTCACTTCAATTGATTTCGCAAAATCAAAAATCAACAACACGTAAAAGAGGATAGCTATCTAAATAGCCGCGTGGGTGTTTGTCAATTTGAAAGTGAATTTAAAATATGTAAGTTGTTTTTTTACAAATGACTTTTACATTTATATTAGCACGCAAATGAAATACAGTGTTTGTTTAAAAAAATTAAATTATTATCGAAAGTGCAATGTGAAGATTACGTGGCAAAATAAGATTAATCAGAAAGTATAATTGAAATCATTTAATTAAATTAGTTACCTTTTTTGTCACTTTCACGTGACTTCACCACTTTTTTAGCGAAAGTCAAAATTGCATTAAATCATATATGACAACTTTCTTGCATCTCACTTTCATAACAACATATATGTAAACAAACACTTAAATTGTTAAACAAAAATAACTTTCTCATTTCATCTTTCACTTGCGTGCAAACAAACACCCACTCAGCCTTTTTACCTAAAGTGTGAGGCCCTCAAAATTTGTAACAGGCTTTGAGGGATCAACTCCATATCTGCCATGTTCCCCTTTTTCAATGAAAGGAGCAACCGTCTCCAACAAGCAGATCAATCTGTTTGTTTTCCTCCCTTAAATTTGAATCAATCTTATCTCATAAGATTGATCTCGTGTCAACGTGGGAAGGTTTCGCTTTGACCGAAACACATATTCAATGTGATATTTGTTAACCTAAAAATATATATTAGATTTCTATAAATACTAATATATTTTATTCAGTAACATCCTTATGAAATAAGGAGTGTGATCATTATGGACAAATTCGTGCTAGCGAAATTTAACTATCCACCAAAATTTAAACTATTAAATTTTGGTTACGAGAAATACATGTATTGTGTGTGACCCATTGGGTTCCACACTAAACCGGCAGTGGATTTAATATACTTATATAATTAATTATTAATCTCATTAAACTCTTTAATGAGATTATCCAATTAACTCTTAACCAGATAAATCCACAAGTCGAGATTGACGTCTAGCAACATGTCACGACTACACGGATAGTGAGGATTTCAATCATAAGGACCGAACGCCCTTCGGTGACTAGTTTCTGTGTAATTAAATCCTTTGCCTATACAGTGTCCCAAATAAGTTATGGAATGGATAAAATGTCAATCTCACTACTTATTCATATGCATTTACAATTCTAAGGTATATGACTCAATTATGAATACTGAAAAATCTTTTCTGATTTTCATCTTACTCTGACCAGAGATTTTTCGAGTAAATACTATATAGAACGCGTAGGACATTCTCTCCTCATACAAGGAGTAACAGACCCCTTATTGATTACTCATTATCTTCATAATAGTCTCATTGGGTCCAGAATATCCTACACATGTCTCAGAGAGTCATATTAAAAAAATAGACCAAAACCACAATTTAACTATCATAAGGTTTTATGGTAATCTCAGGTCTAAGGATCATTTATACATACTATCTGTTTTCGTTAGAAATCGTTTTCATTATGGAATCCATAAAACTTTAGTCGTTTATAATGAATTACATAACAAAATAAAAAAGTTACAATTTCTTTAGAAAATAACACAGAAATTGTTTATCAACGCCTGGTTTTATGGGGTCTTCGCCTGCGTCAGGGGTGCGTTAGCCCGTGGACCATCAAATCACAGATTCTGGTTAAATTGTGAAGGTTTTTGGGATTCTTCATTCGTTTAGAAGCAAGAACAGATTCAGTGAATATCTTATCAAAGTAAGATGAACACTCTTCTTAAGATCAAGTCAAAGTTTAGATCTTAAGGAATCTCCTAATTGTTGGAAGGAGAAGAACTCTTAGAGTTCGCTCAAGCCTCTCTGCTCTCTGTGCTCTATGCTCTGTGCTCTGTAATCTGTTCTCTGTCAAAAATGATCCCAGGGGGGGTATTTATGGCCCCCTGGAAAGGATAAGTGAAATTAGTAGATCATGGGAGAATTGTGCTTCCGAGACAGTCGTGGCTGTCTCGACAGAGACAGTTGTGACTATCTCGGCTTCCGAGACAGCCATGACTATCTCGAAAAGCCTAAACTGTCCGATAATTTTGTAACTGCTCTCCCGCGTTTTAGGTACTGTTATTTAGGTAGTTATCAACGCGATTCTCACTATCAACGTCTCCCACGTTCTTTAACAGTTAATGGACACATACCATGCATATTCCTCAGCAGTTTCTGAACTCTTCAGAACTGTCTCGCGTGCGGGACAGTCAAAACTGTCTCACGTGCGGGACAGTCAACACTGTCTTACGTGCGGGACAGTCAACATGTCTCGCGTGCGAGACAGTCAACGCTGTCTCGGTTTTTCTTCGAGACAACTTAAGGTTGTTTCTTGTGTTCTTTTGATCTTTGGATGATCCTCTCTGACATTCATTATATTCTCTTTGTCTTGAGCTGTATTTGAATATCTATCAGTATTTTTAGACGCCTACACTATCACCTGAGGAAAAGCTTATTGACATTTACATAAATCCATTAGGCCTTCCTCGAGCGAGTCTGTTCAGTGAACTCATTCTATAATGAGCACTTACACTTTTATATTAGTGACTCTTCACAAGTAACTGTGAGATCAGTTGAACTCATTCTATAATGAGCACTTACACTTTTATATTAGTGACTCTTCACAAGTAACTGTGAGATCAGTTACCCTCTACCATAGAGTTAGTGACTCTTCACAAGTAACTGTGAGATCAGTTACCCTCTACCATAGAGTATATAACAAGTGTACTAGTTTTACCGGTTCACTGATCCCATACTCAGTGATCCTACGACTAGGAACATTTTTAAGCTAAGGGTTTTAGGGCTTTAGGTCTCACTGACATAACCTCATTATGACCCTAAAATCATTGCATTAACTTATGAGTTTCATCATACTTAATATTGTATGCAACATATGATAAATATGAAATGCCTAAATTTTATTTCATGAATAGAAAATAACACCAATTACATCAAATGTGATTGGATTTAGAGCACTAATCCTAATAGTTTATTATAGTGATGACCCTTTGAACCTCGCCTTTGGCGCGTCAACTAATTGTGTCGGGACCCCAAAAGTAGGAACTTCATGTGTTGTCGCAACCCCTTCACTTTTCCCTCATGTGGTTCAGCCCCCTTAAAACGTGACATCTTGTGTTGTAGCCCTCTTCTAGCAACTATTACATATCTATTAAGCTAAAATTCTAAAAATGTCTTTATCCCTCTACTAAATCTCTCAAACCCAGCTCTCTCTCTCCCCCCCCCCTCTCTCTCTAAAACCAAGGGTTTTCTCAAGCTCGTCGCCCTTGCCCTCGCCCTCCTCGCCGTCGTCGCCTCCGCCCAAGCCCCTGGCCACGAGGTCGATGGGATCAGGAACCAGCAAGGATCCGTCACCGGTGACGAGCGGGCCCCGCCGCCCGAGGTCTAGGGCTTTCGGCGCCTCTTGCTTCGGCCTCTCTTTAAGCCTTCCTCGTGATCCAGTAATCCAAATCAATTCTTTTCCCTATTTTTTGTCCCTTTCTCTGCCTAGTTTGAGTTTGTGGATTTAAATTTTGGTTCTTGATCCAAGATTACTACGATGACGATGTAGAAGGAAAAATTGGTAGCTCCAAAGGGGGCGACAGTCGTAGAACCGACGGGGTCGAGATTAAACCTTCAAGAGAAATCAGTGAGAGACCGGGAAGACATAGAAAGATGTCACCTTTGTCAGTGAATGCTGATCGAGACGGGGCTTATCAAGAGAGTAGCAGCAGTTCTAGTAATTTCTGTGTAATTTAGGAATTGATATTGTATGGGGGCGAACAGGGACCACGAACTGTGTTAGTTCTAACTCAGCTCGTGTTAGTTCTAACTCAGTTTGTGTTAGTTCTAACCAAGTTCGTGTTAGTTCTGTAGATACATGTCAAATTGTCTTAATCTTTATTTCTCTTAATCTTTTACTCGGAAGTTCGTGTTAGTTCTGTAGATACATGTCAAATTGTCTTAATCTTTATTTCTCTTAATCTTTTACTCGGAGAGGAGTATTATTTTATTATTAAATATCCAAATTGTCTTAATCTTTATTTCTCTTAATCTTTTACTCGGAGAGGAGTATTATTTTATTATTAAATATAATTGTTACATAATGGTCTTCACCATGCAGGTGAAAAATAAGTGGAGTGTTCTGTTTTTAGCTAGTTTGCTTTTATGTGTGCATGTGCACTTGTGTATGTATGCGTATGTACCTGTGATAAGTGCCTAAAGGGAGCGTGTTGGAGTGATCTATGTAAGAGAAGATACTGTAGCGTGTGCTAGTGTGTTGAATTTTGATAGCTAGTTTTGAGTTAATGGTACTTCTGAGATTTGCTTATAACTCATCTCAAGAAGTTTATATATGATCGTAAATAGTCGTAATCCTGAACACAAATTATGAATTTAAGTTAAACTCAGCACCTAAACCTGAAATTTTATGTTAGCGTGTTTTGACTTTTGATAGCTAGATTTGTTTTGATGGTGCTCAAAAACCTAAACTTTGCCTAAACCTAAAAATTCATCTATTCTGTAAAATATTTGGACTATGGAAATATAGTCACAGTAGTATTTTTAGAGATCTCATGCTAAGAATCGGATGCTCTGATAGGAATTGAGGCAGAAACTATAAATGAACAATGTTGGACTGAACATTTTAGACTCACATTTCCTAACTAATATATGATCTACAATTTGAAAAACAAAAAACCAGACACGGGAAATTCAATGTGTAGGATATCAAATTGCATCTAATTTTACCTATATATGAATC